TTGAATAAGATTCATTCTTTATATTAAAATATATTATTAATATATATATTATAAATATATAAATATAAAGATATTTTATTTAATATAAATATACTATATACTAATTTTATGATAATTATAAAATTGTATAATGTTATTGCTCTACCAGTCATTTCTTTAAAAAAATTAGTGAGAGCATACACCTTCTACAACATATAACTACAGCTTTATCATCAGTTGTACCAATCGAGACCTAAAGTCGTTGCATGCCTCTCAACTTTGGATTCTCTCTACCTTGGTCGAACTGCTCAGTTTGTGGTTGCTCGCCGCCTCCGTTTCTGGGATTCTCGGAACATAAAAAAGTTACGAATTTGGGAATTATAGAAGATTGAGAAGAACGTTGGCATTTAACAAAACTACATAATAGACCCATTTTTACTACGTTAATTAATAATGGACCTCGTTTGTAACATCTCCTGTATTTTTCTTAATATATACTATATCTAAATGGAGGATTCTTTCATCTCTGATTCTCTTGTTAATTTTTTCAGTCAAAATTTATTACATTTTCTCGAAAATGACTTCATCTTTATGGTTGCTCGCCACCTCCGTTTCTAGGATTCCTGAAACATACAAAAACAGCGAATTTATGAGAATTAGAGAAGATTGAGAAGAACCTTTGGCATTAACAAGACTGCATAGTGGTTGCCGATATATATGATTTATTAGAACTTTATTAACTAACACGAAAGATTTCACACGTCATATAGTTTCAGTTTATATCTCAAACATCAAAAGTTATAAGAAAATTATAGAATACATCAACTATGTCCCCGACTCCGCGCACGGAGGTTGTACCCCTAGTTTAATGTTATGTTCCAAATTAAAATATTAACTTCTCAATATTTTTCGAAGTAAGTTTTGCAACTATAATATTTATATATTTTTATATAGTATATATATAATACACTAATATAAATATATATATATATATATTTTTTTTTAATATCATATTTATTAAATAAGATTTTTTATTTATATGGTTTTATAATGATTTGTATTTTTTTATAATAAAAATAATTAAACTGTTGAGCAATAAATTTTTGGTGTGAGACTTTTAACAATTTTAGTAATTTTATAATCATTTTTAAGGATGAGAGTTTTTCAAAACCAACATAGAAATCTAAGTCAAACCTAAAGCAAATACATTTTTGTCATTACTATTCACCTTTGAATTTTTCATACAATCCTTAAGATTTGAAAATTTACAAAGTTACCATTATATTTTAATTTCTTTATTATTTCAAAATTAGCAAAAAAACCAAATACACCCTAAGCTTTTCTCTTTATTTACGACAATACAATCATCATCAATTTTCTATCCACCATGAACCACCATTTTTTAGTTCTTAAAGCTCAAGAATTCAATTTTTATCCACTTTTTTTTTCACTTTCTAACCAACAAATCTTCATTGCCTCTCATATCGTCTTCATTTTCATCTAAAAAAACTCCCATAACGTTCATTTTCATAAGCACAACTTTCATATTTTCGAGTTTATTCAGTTGTGAATCGTCAAAGATGCTTCTTTTTACTCATCTTTGGAGCTTGAACAGTGGAAAAAAGTTTTACACCAGAGAAGTAACTATATACATGGCTTTCGTCATTTTTAAGATTTGTGTCGCGATAGTAGACTAGTTTGTATGTTTACGCATATATGTAGACTTACGTTGCAGTCTACTTGTCAACGCACATGTTAGTTTTCTAATTGATCAAAACAATTTTTTTTGTAATACATCCTTCCCAAGAAGTCTACTTATTTATTGTGAAAACAAAAACAAAAATTAGGCATAATTACCAAGAACTCTATGGAAAAGAAGTTGGTTTTGCATTTGACTAAACTTTTGACTTTTCATAGTAGATTTGATCGGAAGTCTACGTTCAATAGACTATTTTGGAAGTCTATAAAATGTTAGTCTTGGATTTGATCAAAACTTTGACTTCGTTGAATAGATTAATTTTGTATTTGACTAAATTGTTAAAAGATTGATTAAAAACACATAAAATGTAGACTTCATATTAATATGCGAATCTTAGAAAAAAACAATATACAGTTAGCTATATGGTGACATGTATAAAATATATAATACTAATCATAAAAATAAATATTAATTTATAAAAAAAAAATTAACATCCATGCGGGCGCACATATCAATCTCTAATTTTAGTTTCAAAAATCATACAGTTTTTATACATATATACAACATTAACAGAAAAAATATTTTATGGGCATGTCTTAAAATGTTGACAAAAAAAATGGAAATGTCTTTTTCCAATATTCCTCTGACAAATAATAATACAAAGAAATAATGGAATTTATTAAAAAAAATGTTTGAGGCTGTATAGGATATGCTTTTAAATGAAAATGATAGCACATACACTTTTCACTGAAAAATTAAGAATTAGTTTTTATTTCCAGCATATACGCAAATATAGTGCATTAGTTTTCAAAATAAATTGGTAATACTTCTCTGGCAGTTAATATCTAAATTTATCAATATTATTTCTGTCCAGACCACAATAAATATTCGTCTCTATCCAATCCCTGCTCGTCGTTTTCATCACGCGCTAAGATTAATTCCCACCCGACACACAGTTTATTTCGTTACAGCTATACTGGCACGCTTTTCTGTATTGAAAACGCCAAACAACCTGAAAAAGAAAGGTTGGAAAAAGAAAAAAAAGGTTCATCGAAATACAAATATCTCTTCCCATCATTTTCTCTTTTGCTCATTTCCCAGAAACTTTGCTTCGTGTGCGATCGCGAGAAGAGGGAAGAATTAGGGTTTATATCCTCCGTACACCATTGATCCTTGAGGTTTAGATTCTCTTCCTATTCCAGTTTCTTAAGGTCTGGCTTTCCCTCTCTCTCTCTCTCTTTCTATGTGCATGGCTTCGTTGCTCCGTCTATGTCCTGTTCGATTTCGTTTTGTTTCTAGGGTTTAGTGATTTTTTGTGCATTTTGCTCGTTTTAGGAAACGATTGTTCTCTTGTTTTTGATTATTCGACTTTTTAGCTGAATCGATCTGCATTTTCCTCAGTATATGGATTCGTGATGACTGTTTCTTGTTTGGTACATGCAAAGCTGAAACTTGTTTCTAACTGACATTGATTATGATCTTCTCCAGGGGCTTTGATTTGAAGAAGAAGAAGACGAAGTTTGGAGGATTGTTTTTTTTAGTTCTTGTAGGTTGTGATTTCGCGAGTATGAGTTCATCATGGGCTGATGTTTCTGAAGCCGAGAGAGCACCATCTGGTTGGGGACCGAGTTACGGGAACTCTCGTCCGTCGCGAACTAACTACGTGCCTCCTCATCTTAGGAGCCGTGGACCTTCTCCTGGTAGTGATCGTGGTGGTTATGGTGGTGGTGGTGGTTATGGTGGTGGTTATGGTGGTAGAGGAGGCCAAGGTTATGGCGGTCGAGGAGGAGGAGGTTATGCTGGTAGAGGAGGAGGAGGAGGTGGTGGTGGTGGTTGGAATAACAGAGGTGGAGGTTGGGACCGTAGAGATACTGAAACTAACCCGTTTGGTAACGATGGGAATGAAGAGCCGGCTGTTAACGAGCAGGAGAACACAGTGATTAACTTTGAGGCGTATGAAGATATTCCCATTGAGACAAGTGGGGATAATGTGCCTCCCCCTGTTAATACATTTGCTGAGATTGATCTTGGAGAGGCTCTGAATCTGAATATCCAGAGGTGCAAGTACGTGAAGCCGACCCCTGTGCAGCGTAATGCGATTCCCATCTTGGCTGCGGGGAGGGATTTGATGGCTTGTGCTCAGACGGGGTCTGGGAAGACAGCTGCGTTTTGTTTTCCTATTATTAGTGGGATTATGAAGGAGCAGCAGAATGTAGAGAGGCCACGTGGAGTTAGGGGAGTGTATCCTCTTGCTGTTATTCTCTCACCAACTAGGGAGTTGGCATGTCAGGTCTCATATCACTGCTCTAGTATCAAAATTTATGTTTCGTAGATCAGATGAAGGTTTCATAAAAGATATGTCTGTTCTATGGTTCTTTTCGCAGATACATGATGAAGCCAGGAAGTTTTCTTATCAAACTGGTGTGAAAGTTGTGGTTGCTTATGGAGGAACACCAGTCAACCAACAGGTTACTGTTTGATTACTTCTGTGTTTTTTACGTCTTATGCACTCATGTCTGTCAAAATAAGCGAGTTTTTCTGTGCTTTTCCAGGCTTTTATTATGCTAGATTTTTCCAGTGCGTGTTGTTAAATTATGTGTCGAGCGTTGTTTTAGCTCTTGGTTTGGTTGATCGCATATCCTGTATCATATTTGTCCTGTAGTATACCAGAATCTTTCTGTGATCGTGGGTGAATGATACCTGACTATTGTATCCTTCAAATGAAGAGCTACAGGAGCCAGCTACATTTTAGTAAGTCTGATGATTTTTTTTTGTTTAACAGATACGGGAGCTTGAAAGAGGAGTTGATATTCTTGTTGCAACGCCTGGGAGATTAAATGATTTGCTTGAGAGAGGTAGAGTCTCCCTACAGATGGTAAAATACTTAGCACTTGATGAGGCGGACAGGATGCTGGACATGGGGTTTGAACCACAAATCAGGAAGATCGTCCAGCAGATGGACATGCCTCCTCCCGGTATGCGTCAAACAATGCTGTTCAGTGCTACATTTCCTAGGGAGATACAGGTTAGTGGAATTCTTTCGCATGTCATTTTATGTGTTTCTCCTTACCAGTATGATTCAGCTAGTTCTTTCTTGTACCTTTACTGTTATGCACTGCTTTATTCGCGATTTTCAGGTCTCCAGTATACTTGTTCGGAGAATAACTGTTCACATTGTTGACTTATAACGTTTGTTGTTTTAGTTAAGACTTGCAATAAGTTTGGCTCATAAAATTACAAGATAGAAGGTTTTTCTTAACTTTGTTGGCTTGCTTCTTCCCCATTATGTATGCGTTTAACTTTGTTATATTTTTGAGTGCAGAGACTTGCATCTGATTTTCTTGCAAATTACATATTTCTGGCTGTTGGAAGAGTGGGCTCAAGTACGGATTTAATAGTCCAAAGAGTAGAGTTTGTCCACGATTCTGACAAGAGGAGCCATCTGATGGACCTGCTTCATGCTCAGAGGGAGAATGGTAACCAAGGAAAGGTAACGCAAACCTGGTTTCTTGCTAAAAGTTTTTCCTCTCACTGTCTCTTTGTTCTCTATGATTCATTGCGGTTCAAGAGTACCTTGACGATCCTGTTTATTTTATTTTACAGCAAGCTTTGACTCTGGTATTTGTGGAAACAAAGAAGGGAGCTGACTCTTTGGAGAATTGGTTGTGCATGAACGGATTCCCAGCAACGACCATCCACGGTGATAGGTCACAACAGGTTAGTGAGTTGTAGATATCATCAGAGAAAGATATTGTTGAGTATAGTACAGTGCAACCAAACCTAAAACCATGTCGTGTTGTTATGCATACAAGGAAAGAGAAGTGGCACTAAGATCATTCAAGACTGGGCGGACACCTATTTTGGTTGCAACCGATGTGGCAGCGCGTGGTCTTGACATTCCACACGTGGCTCATGTGGTTAACTTTGATCTACCAAACGACATCGATGACTATGTCCACCGTATCGGACGAACAGGACGTGCAGGCAATTCAGGATTAGCAACTGCTTTCTTCAATGACAACAACACATCAATGGCCAAGCCACTCGCTGAACTAATGCAAGAAGCAAACCAGGAGGTCCCTGACTGGCTGAGTCGGTACGCATCTCGTGCTTCATTTGGAGGTGGTAAGAACCGGCGGTCTGGTGGACGGTTTGGTGGCCGTGACTTCAGGAGAGAATCTTTTGGCCGAGGCGGTGGTAGTGGTGGTGGTGGTGACTACTATGGTGGCGGCGGCGGTGGGTATGGAGCCGTTCCCGGTGGTGGATATGGAGCCATGCCTGGTGGATATGGAAACGTACCAGGTGGTGGATACGGACACGTTCCTGGTGGTTACGTACCGTACGGTAGAGGCGGTGGTGCTTACTACGGTGGAGGATATGGAACCGTTCCTAACCAAGGGTACGTGGCCAGTGCTTGGGACTAAGTTGTTGACTCCAATTCTTCAAAAACCCGATTACGTCCCCTCTTATCTCTATTGTTTTACTAATAGAGAGCATCGTATGTGTATGTTTGCTCTTTAAATGGTTATTTATGTAGACACGAGTGAGTCTTCACTTGTGCATGTTAAAGATGCAAAAAAAAAAAAAAAACACCTAGACGACTATATTATTTTTCCACGAATTCTCTAGTCCTTTACAAAGCTAAGTCTCAATCTTTTTTTAGTCGGGGCATATGTATAAATTTTAAACCATAACTTTATTAAAAATGGAAGGATATATGAAAGCAACACAGGTCATTATTGTATACAGAATGACCCAACTTGCACAAAGTGCCTTTACTTTGGATCAGAACCAACCACTTGGGTCCTCTCTATGACATATTTTTGATAGAGGTTTTGTCTAAAGAGTTCCTGTCTTAATCGAAAACCAAAAGAAGAAGAAAAAAAAAAACCTATCATGGGTGAAGGTGGTTAGCGTCTGGTTCTAGGCATGCATCGAAACTCAGCCAAGAGTGCAATGTGACTAGAAGACCATTCAGGTGAAGGAAGGGCTGTATCTTTTCTCAATCCATCTTCATCCAACAATTCCAATAAAGACTCCACCATTAATGTATCCGCTGAAAACCAAAAAAAAAAAGAGTAAAACATTCCAGGATTAGTTAGATTAGTTAACTTGTTATCTTTCTCATAGTAGGACAACAGGGTGAGTTAAGAACTGGGTGGATACCTGTATAAAATATATAGTCATGAGTGCCAATGAAGTCCCTTGTACAATTGGTAAACAAAGGCTCATTTGTATTAAGATCCATTCTCCTTCTGTGTTGTTCCAATCCAAGAACTATTCCAAACGATGAATACGCACTCACCTGAAACGAACTCTCATATCAAAAATCCACAAGACAGGCAGCATAAAGGGTAAAACAGAAGGGAAGGGGGGGAACTAAAAATGTTACCAGAGGCAACTGATGAGTCAGCTTGGCGAGAGGACGCAGGATTCCAAGGGGATCAACCATTAGATCTGGGTGTAGTGGATCAACCTTTCCCATTGTAAGAAGCGTATGAGGTGCACTGCAATCATAAAAGCAGTTCCTTTAGCTTCCTAAAACAGTAATCAATAAGAGCATACTGCGCTTGATATGTCAGGTCAGAAGAATTAACAGAACCTTCTAGGAAGCGTGTTGAAGTCTCCACATACAAGCATAGGAATGTCTGCACTAGCAGCTATTTTCTCCAGCCCCTTTAATAAGGTGTGGACCTACACTCAAAAAGAATACAAACAAATACTGAGGTGTGCACACTAATTCTCTTGAGTTCTTTAGTAGGATAGAGAGATACACATACCTGCCAGAGCTTCACGTCCTTCAGTTCTTGTTGTACATTAACATGTGTGTTTGCCTATACTCCAACAAGTTACAGCCACCAAAAAAATTGAGGGCAACAGCAGAAGAATAAACGATCTTATGAGAAGATTCATGGGAAGAAAAAGGAAACTTACCACACAGATAAGCTGGCGCTTCCCTAAAGAATCAACAGGTTGATTACCAAATTTCGCTTCAAGAACAACTATCAGCGCAATGTTATCCTAAGAAAATAACAATCACGAGAATCAGTGATGTAAACAATAACTCTCTAATAAATCAGCTGCGACGTATAGCATGTCAAAAGTACCTTAACAAGTCGGTTTAAAGCTGTTCTCTTCTGCGTAGGAGGGATTAAAGTCTCAGTCAAAGACTGAGCAGCCTTATTGAATTCAACCTGGATTAACAGTCTCTTGAATTAGCATGATGAACTAACTAGATAGAGCGAGTAAACATGATAGAAGAGATACAAACATCATATTTCTTGACATGTAAAAATCTATCCCGTCTGAAAAATGTTGCACATCCATCAATTGCACTTGTACTTCCACTGAGAACCTAGCAACCAGCACGTTACGGTTAAGAGCCTTTCCAACATAAGGAAGGAGTGTGTGTAATGTAATCAATGACCCAACCTCATTAGTCTTCCTCTTGTAGAGAGCTTGATACCCATGTTTATCCAACTCAGGCGCAAAAACTTCATGGAAATGATCACTTTGTACCTGCCAGATATCGTTAATGATGCTTAAACTAGTGTTATTAATCAAAGTCCATACAAACGAAAAAAAAACATACCTCTTGTAGGCAAACTACATCAGCACGATAGCCAACAATCTCCCTCAACAGATTATGTCGTCTATATGACCAAGAAAGAGCCCAAGGAGGACAATAACTATAAAGGTCGCTATTTGCTGAAGTATCAGCTAAAATATTATAAGAAAGAACAGTAAACGATCCAGCAGACTGAATCCGACCATCATGATCTAAGTGACCCATCACATCAGCTCCATTAACAGGGATAAGCTTACGAGGACTCGGAGAAGGAGCAGGGATAACACGTGAAGTCAAAATAGTACTAGGATGTCCCACAATCTGTTTACTCTCAGCATTAGCCACAACACATTCGAACTTCAACACATAGCCAATATCATCAGCCGTTGGCGTGTATGTTTTGCAACTTCCAACCTCGATCAACGTCTCTCCTCCATTCTTCTGCGTAATACTAGAAGGATAAAACGGCGTTGGGCCATTATTGGCGAGGCTTAGATTAGACATGGAACCGGACAAGGTACCGGAGAGAACACCAGAGCCAGTGCTGTTAAACCGGACTAACTCATCTTCCTCGTTCCCGTTCTCTGCAGCTGCTCGCTCGTGCAAAGTCTTGTGATGTTGCCACGCATCTACAAAGCATTTGGGAGAGCAATGGTAGCTTTTGGGAACAAGGGATCTACGCTTTGAACAGAATACACATTGTAAAGTGGCTTGCTCCGTTGGATGCACACTACAAATCGTTACTTTCTTATCACTCTGTACACGATACCTACAAATAAAACAAAAATCGAAAGAGTAAACCTTTAAGACAAGAACAAAAGTAAAACCATAGTCGCTGGCTCTTTTATTACAATCCCCAAGCCAATTAGCAATTCTCTTAACGACCCAAATCAGAAATCTCTGAACTTTACATCAAACTTTCAAACTTTTGAGTAAAATCTCTAACCTTAAGGTTAAAGTTTCAAACTTTTGAGTAAACCCTAATTCGCCAAAATGATCCAACAAAACAAGAAATTCAGACAAAACCCACAAACTAAACCGGAGAAAGTTTCAAACTTTTACCATCTGTATCTCAAGAAGTAGCCATCGAGAGGAGCTGATTCAGGGACATCTTCAGTGGCGGCGGACTTATCGGGGCGGCGAACAAGCACGTAAGGAGTTAATTCACAGCCCACTATAGGAATCTCGGAAGGGAGATGAACTCGGATCACGCTCAGCATTGCTTTTGAGTAACACCTGGTGATTTCGGAAGCACTCTAACACTATGGAAGCAGAGAATCGAATGGTTTGGTAGAAAGAGAGATGAAATAGAGTGGAGGAGGGTAGGGTGATCCACCATTTACTTTCCACCTAAAAACACGCCAGAGCTTCCGGAAACCCTAGATTCCGTCTCCTCTTGGAATTTTAGAAGGCCCAAGTTGGATCACGAATGAGAGAAAGAAGAAAAATCTGGAATCGAGAAGATCTTATTAATCGTATAATAGAGAGATTGAGGAGGTGGGTCTTTGCGAGAGAGGTTCAAGGATCGATTCTTACGCTGATAACTGGAAAAAAAAATCAATGAAGATTACAAAACATTTGTAAAAAATAACTATTACATTTACCCTTCAGACCAATGTTTCGAAATCGAACCACTGTTTTGTCCGGATGAGATTATAATTGGACCGGTAAAAGTGGGTTAAAACCTGATTAAATTCGCAAAAACAATGTTGTAGTTCAATACTAAAATCTAGTTCTCCGAACCTAAATTAAAAACAACTTTATATTATTTTTAGGATTTTTTTAAAAAAGGACTAAAATATTATGTTATATAAATTAGTTATATATTTTCATATTTAAAAAGATTAAAATATTATTAGTTATATATTTTTCTATTGAATCTACTATATTAAAATAGAGTCATTCTTTTTATCTACTGATACAAGTTGTCATTTAAATTTGGACCCTTTCTAGAATGTTACAAATAATATAAGTCATATAATTGATTGAACTGTATTACTTAAATTAAACCAATACAATTAATGTAAAGAGACAACCTTAATTTAAACTACCTTCAAAATACGGCAGGTATCTACGTGTATACCAAAAACACATATTTTCTCCTAGAATGTTTTTAAAAAAAAATATATATCATCAAAATATGGAATATGGAATCTACTAATTATACTTAAATTAAACCAATGATTATTTATGCAATATATTCTAGGGCTTACTTTTATTTTTTGAACAAATTATATAGTTTGGTTTTTGGGCTTAGTATTAAGAAAAAACTCCAAATTGAATAAACTTTTCACCTTAAAAGAACAAAAAATCAATTATTATTTTCAGACCCAAAAGGTATTTAATATTTTTAACAAAACAAAATTATCTATTATTAATAATCTATTTAAATCATGTACTTTAAAACATGTTAATATATTTTTTTATTTTAAATAACAATCAATTTGTTTTGATAAATTTCAGTTGTAACTTTTAAATAATTTATTGTTTTATTTTTCTTAAATAATTTACTGATTAAAAAAATGTATAGCAAAACCAAAAACCAAATCTAAAAACTAAAATCCAAAACCAAAAGCTGAAAACACATGTTATATTTTTTTGCTTTGTTTATTTACAAAATAAGCTATTTCAAATTTTTTTATAAATTTGTTATCATCTTTTCAGTTTTAAATTAGATGTTCGATTATTTGAGATTTGTTTGTTGGTAATATTAGTTCAAACTAACTCAGCGGGTTTAAAAATTAAAAACCCAAATCAAAAACTGAAAATGAAAAGTAGAAACTTAAAAACTAAAAACCAAAAACCAAAATCTAAAATAAAAACTGAAGCTTAAAACTAATGAAAAACAATCATCACCACAATTTTTTGGTGAACTGATTTTATATCAAAATATTCTTTAAATTAAGACAAAATCCAATTATATAAATTTTTAATCATAAAAAATTTCCGCGCTTTCAAGCGCGGGTCAAAATCTAGTTTGAAACTAAAACTCGGTTGAATTGGTTGGACCGTGTAAAATACCGAGTCAAGATATCCGATTTTTAAAAGAGTTGGTTATCAGCTGAGACACATTGTGTGTCTTTTGTTTACATGTAGACACACAATGGGCTTAGTGGATACATTATCTAGTTTGAAGAATAGAATTGGACATTTATGCCCCAGTACTAGGTTTGGCGTGAGATGGTGTTTGGTTGGGAAACCGGTTTGCAAGCTGTCACACATCATAAAGCTGCTCCATCTTTGCACCGTTAGATTTAAAAAACTTTGTTTGATCCAAGGGTCCATTTTGAAATATGTGTGAGCGTTTGGTGTGAATTAAATGCACGTCGTTGTTGGTGTCGACGTTAAAGAAACAAGAAATACAGATCCATTCTTTGTTGCCTTTTAGGGAGCAAACTAGGGTAATTTATTATTGTTTTTCATCATAATGAAGGCCAAGTAGAGAAATTATCATCTGTGTTTTGTATTAGGTAACAAGTTTATGTTTGTTGGCGTTATGGAGGAGCAGTGCTTGGTAATGTGCGGCGAATGGGTGTGTGGACACAGAAGCAAGTGGGATTTTGTCGTCGACAAACAGCAGATGACTCGGCTCGTCCATGTTTCTGAAGGTATCACGATGAAAGAACTTCAAGCAAGTGTGTTGAGGGAGTTTGGTAAAGAGGAGAAGGTGTGGGAAGCTGTTCTCAGTTACTGGCCGCCGAGTAGCATGGAGTTAGCAACGGGGATTTGGACACCTCCTGTCCAGCTTACAAGTGATGGAGCTATCAAGTATTTTGTGCAGCACTTTAGAGTTAAGGGGCTATGAATATGTTTGTGATGTTTGAGCAGAAGCTTCGTACTTGTGATGACAGTCAGGATGTGGACGACTTTGGAATGGGTTTTGTCACACCGGTTGCCTTTGGACCTATGGGTTCATCAAAATTATTGTCTGGTGTTTCGAACTTTCGATATGCTCCATCTGCAGGTTCGAAGTCTAAAGTTGCTGACTGTGTCGATTTGGAGTTTATTAGCGAGGTGGAAAGACTTGAGTCAGAGATTAAAAGCTGTAACAATAGTGGGAAAGGTGATAAGTTTGTCGCCGGAGAAGGTTTTAGCGGTAGGAAAGTTGACTCCTTTGTGTCTGGTGGTAGCAATTGTGGCGCCGGTGAAGCTTGTGGCGGTGGGAAAGCGGATTGTTTTGTGGCCAGTGGTAGCAAGTGTGGTGGTGGAGATAGTTGTAGCGGTGGAGAGAAAAGCAAGAGCAGTAGCAAGTGTGTGGAAGGGGAAGCTTTTAGTGGTAGTAGTGAGGGGGATGACGGAACTGTAAGAGAAGAAGTCAACGAGCTCGACGTCCGACCTCGAGGGCATGACAAAGATTTCTGGAACCCATTACTAAGCACCGACTATAAAGGATCCAATGCTGTTAATGTAATTTACAATGAAGACGAGATTGTTGATGGTTTGACAAGGAATAAGGGACCTCGGCGTTACAGTTGCACCAGTATTGGTGGTTTCGATCATGTTTTTGAGTTGGGGCGTAGTAGTAGAGGCGTGAAGCTCACGAAAGGTGAAGACTTTCGTAAACAAAATCTGTGGCTCAATGGTGTGGACGCCAATATCAGTGTGGACAGGCCGCGCAGGGTGTCCACCAGGAAGTTAGTTGATGTTGATGATGAGGAGTTTGATATACCTCCACTGTTTGATGATACTAGCTACGCTGCACCAGAGATCCCAGACATGGATTTGGATGGAAGGGATGGGAGGATCTATGTTGGTAAAGTCTTTGGTAACAAGGAAGATTGTCAAATCTCTTTGGCAATATATGCCATTAAGAACCAATTCCAATTCAAGCAGACAATAACCAAAATAGATTCATTTGTTGTTGAGTGTCCTGATGAACACTGTGATTTGAGGGTTACAGCTCATGAGATTCGTGGATGTGGGTATTATGAGATAAGGAAAGCTCAACTAGATCATCGTTGCCCCATTGAGTCAAGGCAGAGGTATAAGAGCAAAGCTACGTCAAAGGTGATTGCGGCTGTTTACAAAAGTAAGTTTGGTCAACCCGGGAAAGGACCAGTGCCGTCTGAGTTGCAGAGGCTATTTCTAGAGGACCTCCGAGTGACAGCATCTTACATGAAATGCTATAGGGCAGCAGAGAAAGCAGTAATTGACGTACGTGGGTCGGATGAAGACTCGTACTTGAAGCTTCTTGAGTATTTACACATGTTAAAACTTGCTAATCCAGGAACTATTGCTGATTTGGAAACTGAGATAGATGATGATGGAGATGAACGGTTTCTTTATGTGTTCCTTGCGTTTGGGGCGTCCATAGATGGGTTCAAGAAGCTATGTCGTGTGCTTGTAATTGATGGTACACACCTAGGAGGCAAGTACAAGGGGGTGCTATTGACAGCTAGTGGAAAGGATGCAAATTTCCAGATATTTCCTCTAGCTTATGCTGTTGTGGACAGTGAAGACACTGAAGCGTGGACATGGTTTCTTCAGAAGGTTGAGCGTATAATAGCTGATTCTCCAAGTCTGTCTATTATATCCGATCGTGCTACTTCAATCTTCAATGCTGTGAAATGTGTATATCCATCTGCTCAACATGGTGCTTGCATTGTCCACTTGGCAAGGAATGTCAACTCACGCTACTCTAGCAAGCACTTGGCAAAGTTGGTGACTGATGCTGCAGCTGCATACAGACAAGGGGAGCACAGAGATCTGTACGCAAAGGTGAGAGCGACGAACAGTGCATGTGGAGTTTATTTGGGGAAGATAGGTACAGCTCATTGGTCTAGGGCCAACTTTCCTGGTGAGAGATATAATATCATGACGAGCATTATAGCTGAGCAGCTTAACAATGCTTTGGTGGAAGGGAGAACGTCTCCGATAATGGAATTGGTAATATTCATTCAGAGGATGATGACAAGGTGGTTTGCTGCTAGGAGAAAGAAGGCAGAGAAGCATAAAGAGGTTGTTAGTGTGGAGGTTGATAAAGAAATGACCAAGACTATGGCAACTATGGCGGGGAGCAAAGTGAACTCTGTGTCTAATTGAACTTGTGAAGTTGTGGGAAAGTTTGGAAAGAAGGAGCGTGTGATGCTTGCTGAAAAGAAATGCGATTGCAAGTATTTTGATAAGCTACATATCCCATGTGGTCATGCTATGATTGATGCTGACAGTTTGGGGGTGACATATACATCATTGGTGGGTCAGTGGTACAAGACCTCGACTTGGAGAGAGACATATGCTGGTATAATTAGTCCGGAGGGAGATCCAAGAGATGTGGATATTCCTGAACACATCAAGAAAATTGTATTGAGGCCACCATCCACGTCGAGGCCAACGGGTCGTCGTAAGAAGAGCATGATCCCTTCTACCGGTGAATTTCCTGTACGTAGAATTGATTTAATTTTGTTGTTTTTGTGGTGATCATAATGTCTCTGCAATGTGATTGATTATCATTGGTGAATTGAACAGGTGGGAAAGAAGACGAAGCTGAATCCTAATAGGTGTGGAAGATGTCGTGGTGTAGGACACAACAGGACCCGTTGCACTGAACCCATATAGAGAGGATACTGTGTGGAGAGGAGGAGTGGAGAGGAGGAGAGTGATATTTTGCAGGAAAAGTTATTGGTAAAACACCCCAACGAAGGAGAGTTATATTTTGTGGAAACAAACGAGATTGATCATGATTAAGTTGTTTATTTTGATCAGTACTTGATTTTGGATTGTTTTGGATACTAGATCATCTGCTTGTCAAGAATTAAGTGATTTATTTCGGTTAGATACGTTTGTTAAACTTATGTTTCCCGATACCGTGCAATTTATTTTTATCAGTCATGGTTGTGGCATTTGGCAAGGGGGATGATAACATTCCTTGAGGCGTTGGGGGTGTAGTTAATGTCTCTTTATGTAGCCTCTGTTTTTGCCAAGTGCATAAGTAATCGTGGATGCCCAAAAAATTAGAAAATTGGACTTGTGGATATGGAACAGATGCACATCGAACACATGTCCATGGAACATAAGTAAAGCTGAGGAAAGTATGGCCAAGGCTGATAAAACAAACAAACTAGGATTCATGCATTGTCATAAGAAGTTGTGTTGTAGCTAATATAAGAGGAGTTTGAAAATAATATATGATTACTCAACTGCTTTGAACTAGGATTCATACATTGACATAAAAAACATGGTACTCTTAAGAACTAAAATGAGATGACTTGATCTATCACCTAATCCATAAAATCTTCAAAGGCACTTCCAATAGAGGCAGGCGATAGCTCCTACAATTGCAACAGCAGCTGCGAAGTTAATTACCGGTCCACTGTAGTTGAGCGGTGTTGTGTTCATGTTTGAAATCATAGTAGCATCGACATCTTCTTTGACCTGTCGAGTTGCTTCATCCATTGTTTGGGCCACCATCGTCATGTGTTCGTTGAGCTTAGACATCATTTGAACATAGAGTTCCCTTAGCCAAGTCTTGTGTGACTCAATCTGTTCAGTTATGGTCTTGGAGAGGGTCTGAAAATCATGGGCTAGATCGAGGACTTTGGCATCCACAATACTAACTTCATCTAGTATTGCTTCGTCTTCCCACTTAAAGAGGTGAGACTCTGATTTCCTCTGTTTTAATGACAGAACTAGATTTTGACCCGCGCTTGAAAGCGCAGAAATTTTTTATGATTAAAAATTTATATAATTGGGTTTTGTCTTAATTTAAAGAATATTTTGATATAAAATCAGTTCACCAAAATTTGTGGTGATGATTGTTTTTCATTAGTTTTTAGTTTCAGTTTTTATTTTTAGATTTTGGTTTTTGGTTTTTAGTTTTTAAGTTTCTACTTTTCATTTTCAGTTTTTGGTTTGGGTTTTTAATTTGTAAAGCCGCTGAGTTAGTTTGAACTAATATTACCAACAAACAAATCTCAAATAATCGAACATCTAATTTAAAACTGAAAAGATGATAACAAATTTTTTTTAAAAAATTTGAAATAGTTTATTTTGTAAATAAACAAAGCAAAATAATATAACATGTGTTTTCAGCTTTTGGTTTTGGATTTTAGTTTTTAGATTTGGTTTTTTGTTTTGCTTTACATTTTTTTAATCAGTAAATTATTTAAGAAAAATAAAACAATAAATTATTTAAAAGTTACCATTGAAATTTATCAAAACAAAGTGATTGTTATTTAAAAAAAAAATATATATTAACATGTTTTAAAGTACATGATTTAAATAAATGATTAATAATAGATAATTTTGTTGTGTTAAAAATATTAAATACCTTTTGGGTCTGAAAATAATAATTGATTTTTTGATCTTTTAAGGTAAAAAGTTTATTCAATGTTTTTGGAGTTTTTTCTTAATACTAAGCTAAAAAACCAAACTAAATAATTTGTTCAAAAAATAAATGTAAGCCCAAGACTATATTACATAAATAACCACTGGTTTAATTTAAGTATAATTAGTAGATTTCCATATTCCATATTTTGATGATATACATTCTTTTAGAACATTCCATATTTGTAGGAGAAAATATGTGTTTTTGGTATACACATAGATATTTGCCGTATTTTGAAGGTAGTTTACATTAAGGTCGTCACTTTACATTAATTGTATTGGTTTAATTTAAGTAATACGGTTCAATCAATTATATGACTTATATTATCTGTAACATTCTAGAAAGGGTCCAAATTTAAATGACAATTTGTATCAGTAGATAAAAAGAATGACTCTATTTTAATAGAGTAAATATAAGAACACATTAGGAATTTGAACTGAAGCATTTATCAGTAAGAGTATAAGTAAATAGTAGATAAGTTGAAAGGAGGACATGTAGCGCAATTTCGCATCGGTAAAATCTGCGGAATGGGTTCTCTTTTGTTTCTGAAGCCCAGATGACGACTCCTTTGCCACACCAACATCTTTTTGGGACGCTGTGAACGGACATGCGGGCAACGGATCTGTAGGATGAAGAGGAGGAAGTGGACATTGGAAAAATGAAGATCTAGAGAGGAGAAATGTTTTTCAGATGTAACCCTAATTGACTCTCGAAGAAGAAAAATATATAGAAAGACCGGTTAAGTAATGGTGGTTAAGTATTTGTGGTTTAGATCAATTAAACCGGGCGGTAAGTACCATCAAATTCAATTGTTTTGCTGAACAAATTGGGCAGGTATGTTGGTTAATCTACCATTACACAAAATCAACTACAAGCCTAACAGATTCGGATCCATAATACATCCTTTTTGACTAGTATCACAAACTTGTTTACGTAAGTCTGGGAAAAGTGATACAACAAGAGAAAGCCGACCACGAAGCCAAGTAGTGGCTACACAGAACAGAAAAAAGCAGCATGACAGTTCAAAACATTTTACGACAAAAGTACTAGAGTAGTTGTTCAAGAGAATGTTGGAGCTTGATAAGCAGGTAGAACAAAGGTTTTGTAGACATCCATGGCGTATTGCTTTCGTAGATCATCAACTGCACTGTCTGTAACTCCAGACATGTGGGGTGCTGGATCACCGTGAGCGTGAAATTCAATGAACTTTGATGGCGAGAGGTCCACAATCACCGGAGCGAAGGTTTTTGTAGATGTCATCAATCCTCTGATAATAAAATGGCTTGAGACCACGGAACTGAGTTTGCTGTGGCTTGGCTACCGTCTTCACAAGGTAGGGGAGTGCAGTGAGAACCAGCTCCATAAACGTGGCAACCTTCTTGTCTGTGTACAACGATGAATTTGAGTCCAAAATCTCCACACAACCAACGTCGAGGTTAATAGCTAGCCCCACCCAGTGTTTATCTCCCCAGCACATTGGAGTGTATATCGTGGTCACATCCTCCATCCACTTACACCCAGGCTTGAGGACCAATTCAGTCAGACGCTTGTCCCATTGGAATAGGTCCTTCCTTCTCAACGGTTTGAACCTCTTCCATATCTCCTGAATCCCAGAAGCTAGATAGGGTGTTGTGAAGCCAAGACCTTCACGCTGAAGCAGTTTTTTGTGCCTTCCATCTAGCATGTACATGAGGATTTCCATATGCTGCATTACGATTACACCAAAAAATTGTTAACTAAGTGTCCATCGCATGAGAAGTCTAGACTATTTAAAATCAATTTCCAGTAAAATCGTATTGATGGGAACTTACAAATGTGGAGATCCACTTTTGGGACTCCACTATGTCAAGAATGAATTGGTTGGAGAAGTTGAATTTAGAGGGAGTGATGTGAAACCTGTTAAAGGGTACAAACTGAATGAGACTATGTCAAAAAATCATTTAAAGCAATTTGTTGATAATGTAAGATGTCCCTTACACATTCTTATTTTTCTTAAGAGTAGAGGAGAAGAGGTCCCACATTGTCTTTGGGAGCGGAGCCAAGAGTGCAAGAGCTGGTACTGAAGGGGATTTGAACAGCTCTTCTGCAAGGTGACACTCCTCATCTGATGGCTGATGTCTTGGAGTTGGCCTAGCCGGAGAGGAGTCACTTACGTCAACACAGTCCTCCTGTCCACAAAAAAAAAAAAAAATGTCTAAGCAGTAAGAATGATGCACATCACTCAATAAGAAAGCTCTTTCAGTACCTGACTCTGATCAAAATTCAAAATGGGGAGTGAGGTTCGCTTAGATGTCGCTGTTGCAGCGAATGCATTGACAGACTCGACATGTTCAGCAAAGCCGCTGCTCTTTGTTGGAGTTGTATCAGGTGTGATTGTATTTGTCTGCTGCTTCTCATCACGGCGCGTAGAAGTGTGGTATCCTGGTTTATTCAGTGAAGAGGACTCGGGCTCGGGACTGATGGGCTCGAAGATTCTCAGACCTTGGTTTAGTAGGTGGTGAAAGGGGGGGCTGTTAGGATGTGCAGCAGCATCGTATATGTACGATCGATAAATGCGAGGGGGTGACTCGGGAGTGTACAACCAAGGAGGTGTGCCAGAGGATTCTGGGAGTGGTGAGGTTCGTAGTGGTTTTGTGAGTGTCCCTCCTAGTGAAACAGTGGGATCTGGGCGCTCTGAGCTATGGACGGGGGTGGTTTGGTTGGGTGAGTTTTGTGGGGAGTTATTAACATTAGAATTGTGTACATGCGAGTTGTGGACAGGGGATGTTTGGACGGTTGGTGTGTGTACAGAAGAGATGTGGACAGGGGATGTGCGGATGGGGCGAGTGGGAACTGTGTGCGGGAGAAGTGTGTTGAGGGCGTGTAGGGCTGTGTGGAGAGTTTAAAGGAACTGAGTTTGTGGTATCTTCTCCATAGTGCTGAGCTGCATATTGGCTGATGACTGGGGAACTGCAGTGATGCTGGTCTTCATCCATAAATGCAGGTGCCTGCAGTTGATCACGGAGACGAGTATTCATGACCATAATTTTGTGAATTTGATCTGGATAAAAAAAAAAGTTTTTACCGTTTCAACATCAGTGGTTTGTGATGGAGGAGCTATTTTAGCAGATCGCTTGCTGTGGGTACGAGACTTCCTACGTTTTATCATCTGTCGCAGCACCTTGTTCTCTTTTCGTATTTTGGAAAGCTGGGTAGAAACTTTGGTCAACATCTCAAGAACCTGCTCGTTTGAGATGCTGGTTGAAGCTGTCTTGGTGAAGTAGTTGCTGATCCTCTTTTGCTTACGGGAGGATGATTTGTTTAGGGTCTTCCTAAACTTGAGAGGTACATGCCTCTTCGGTGATGGTTGCTTTTCAGGAGGTACATAAATTAGGATGGGCCCCGACCTGTCTCCTCCAGGCCAAAGATGCTTCTTGAAAGGGAAGTGGTTCGCTATGAGGTTCTCCATGTATGTAACCCTTTCATCAGCAACAACATCAGACCAAACTCCCCATCCCGGTTCTGATTGGCTTTGAATTTGTATCAATGATGTAACTTCAAGCTGTT